ACCACGCTACGCATATTCCCATGACAATTATAAAGGCCACGAGGACGAGGGTATGCATGACCTGGGAAGTTATGAACCATGCTGAATGTGCCTGTTCAAGGTTTAATCAAAAAACTGCTTACCGGAAAAAATTTGCGGCCACAGTGGACGGATTCGTGAGTCGAAAAGATAAAAGCAGCCATCATAAACCACCTGCTGGTTACTGGTCGCGATGAAGTCTTTTAGACATATTTCCCAAAGTCCCAAACGCAAAAAACGTGTGGTGGCACTGGGGTACTTTGCATACCAGTATGGGAGGATTGTGGCAAAGAATGTGCACAAGAAGCCAGTAAGGGTTACACTGAAATAGAGCCACTGAACACCACGGTCTCGTAACCTTAATGAAGGCGTTGTTATGGGGGAAAATACACAAAAACAACTTACATTTTTGGCGTCGCAAACAGCTAAAAGCTATGGGCGGCATAGATCTTCACCAAAACGGCCATTTTTCCAACGAGACTGTGTTTGCTGTAAAATATGAGCTGGCATAGTTGTAGAGTACGTAGGTGCAAAATGCGTAGGAAGCTCAAATAAAAAAAGTGATCAGTTGGTTTCTTCGTCTCTTTGTCGGCCAATACATTTCCCTTAAAGTGAACAAAATCAACCCCTATTCCAAACGCAGTGTCGTAAAACTTGGCCGTCGGCTCCGCTTCTACCCCTTTGTTTTAACGAGGTACCCATGTTAATCTCGGATGTCTGAGTCGCATTCATCAATCATGGAACGGTCGTCATTATAAACTTTTTCAGCCCGCCTCCGGGAGCCTACAAGCCAACGACTGAACTAACTGGTGAGATCAACAACTCAAACTTAAGGCCGCTCAAGTAGTTCGTCGGAGATAGTGAAATTTCTTCGAAATCTGGTTCATTCTACTTGTTGGACTTGCTCTGAATACGCGAAATTGCCCATTTAATCTAACTATAAGTGTACCTCCTGACCCATATAGGGCTCACACGGCCTATACCTGGTTTCCGATGCAAGCAAAAAGGCACATATCTCCTAGAAGAGATACAAGAATTGCCGAAAAGTTTGCATTACAGAAGGGAAGAGGCTGTGATATAACTGTCATTGGCTTACGAATTTTCACCGGCTATAAATCGTTCTTCTCCATTTGTCTATTCACGTTGCTACCAGCTGCACAGTGGTGCATACCAGGAATGATCATGTGAGGGGTTCTTAGACCTGCGTTTCCCGTTTTCTTGGCGAACTGAAACTTTTGAGCACCTTTAATCCACTGATAGCAAAATTTTATTGGCAGAGATCCTAAAACTCCGCTCTTATGTTCCCAACAGGCGAGACAAACGACTTAATTACGGAGGTATGTAAGGATCGTATCCCCCAACCAGTTTGTCCAAACGCGCCCGGCATTCGTATGCATCTTTCTTGATTGGCTTCTAATTCTGCTTTGAATTCCGCGTTTATCCGCTAGTGGTCCAACTCGAACATAACTATGGCAAGGCATGCTCGATACGGACGTTGTTATGCATAAAGTTTATACACGTCTTAACTGTCTCTCGACATATCTTCACAAAACGTCCTGCACTTCAGCAAATTAAGTCATATATTTTGCGTCGCTTATCTTCTTTTTCCTCCGCTGCCTTTACTTACGACAAAATTTCCTTAAGGGATAGCTAATTTTTCGTTGAGACGCCGCTCAGGGTAACGCGAGGACAGGTTGGACTCCGCTGACCGACCTTATTAGCTTTGATGAAGAACTCGGGTCTTGTGCAGTTGTTTAAGGCAGTGACGCACACATCCACGTTGTCGTACAGCGCAGTTGATAGCCTCAGAGGTAAATCAATAAACTATAGTTCCTTGATTCACCTCTGAGTCTGAATGGCTTTGACTTCTTAAAATCAAGTATACCTGATTTTAAGAAGTCAAAACCATTGACTTTAAGGGCCAACTTGCAAAGGGTGTTCGTGGGTAACCATAGGCGAGGTACGGTGTAGTTAGTAACCTCTGTACTGACTGCTTCCATGAGCGTACCTAGGTCATGGGAGACTCACCAGAGGCTGACAGCGGAAGGCAACTGTAAACATTCGGGCCTAGTCGCAGGAGGTTCTTTAAGGTCGTTAGGCCCGCGACGTTCCTTATTGGTCGTTTGGGCTGTCCGTTAATTTGTTATTATTCCAGAGCGCGTTCTCTGTTGTAAGACCCGAAAAGACGGGTTTGTTTAAAAGGAACAGAAAAACGGGCCTGCGGGAAAAAGGAGACAGGAGGTTTTGTGTCGCGGATTGAGTGCACTTCTTCTCTTTTGGCGTTTCTAGATGAGGACAGAGGACTACGTCCGGACACCGTCCAGGATCCTGTGGATATCGCATCACCTCAATCACCTTCTTGATCCCCAAGCACTTTCTCCTCCCCTTGTGTTCTTCGAGTCTTACATGCGCCTCTGACGCTTCTCGTCCCCCCATTTCTATATCCCCATCCTTTCATAATTTATCGTTACGTTTCGGACTTCCTTTGATTACTCGAATCATATCTGCACGTTGAGATTTTGTTTGCGCGCATGATGGCGAAATCCAAGACTAACCGTTCAGGAAAGGGAAGAGCAACCCCGTCTTCATCCTGATCCATAAAACCTGCAGACATTAGTCTGTAACTAGACCCTCTGCCAGTACACCAGGACGGTCCGCCCACTACAGTGTGGCAACACAACAACCATACTCACAGCCCAAGCACAATATCTGAAAACAGTCCAAGGACATCACGCGTCGTTGATGTACCATACTACGACGGCACAGAGGCTTTAGCAGTATGGCTCCGACGAACAAAGTTCTACACGCAGGAGGTTTCAGTGGTCGACAGGTCACGGACATTACTTAAGACCCGCGCGCCTAAACAGTTGGATAGAACTCTTGACGTAGGGCTGGACGCCAAATTATCCTTTGATACGCTATGCCAACGCCTAACAAACTTATTCGAGCAAACTCGCTCTTTTAGAGACGCTATAGAGTAGTTACATGAACGACGACTAAAGCTAGATGAAACCCCGAATCAACTGGTGGGGGGCCTGGAGCGCCTCACTACCGTGGCCTTTCTTACGTCGGGAACTGACGTTTAGGAAAATACGATGCTCTTTTATTTCATCAAAGTCCTACCTTCGTCCGAACAGTCGCGCTCACTTTTGCTGCAGCCCCCGGACGACATATATGATGCCGTCGTCATGGCCGAGCGCTATCTCCGATTGTACCCATCAGCCTACTGTCCCCCTCCTTCCGCAGACACACACGCTCGGTATGGGCACCATACGGTCGTGGGACGAGGCACTTATTACCCCACATGGATAGGACGATAGGGAGCGACAGTGCCCCTAGTTAACCTCCGAATTGTACAACCCTGTATACACCGTCAGCTAAATGAGGCCACTCAAATAGTGAGATTGACGACGACAGACGGATCACGTTTAATGCACCAGGGGACCATACAGCTAACTGTCACTCTTCCCTATTTCACAGCCGAACACGCCTTCATCGTAACATCCCACCTCACGTGGAACATCCTCCTCAGGACCGATTTTCTAGCTTGTTACGGATGCCAAATGGACGTACGAAATGAGAGACTCGAGTTCCGACAAACGGGCGCAGAAGGTCAGGCGAAGCTCCTGACTGCTTGGCCGGCAATCCAAACGGCAGTATAGGTCCCACCGACGTCCACTGATGATGTATTACCCACAGGAGAACGGAGCGACGTTGAGACGAAATCACTCAAATGGATGATGCTTGGTTTTCACTATGTTTTTGCATGGGACATGTACACGCTGGGCCGTACCAGTTGTATACGACACGCTAATGAAACGGACGCAGCGAGGCCCATTTGTCAACCTCCACGGCGTATACCGGCGCACTTACAAAAGGAAGTGGATACGTTATTAGATAGCATGCTGTTGGGAGTGCCTACACTCCCAAAAACAAGAGAAAACCAATCACTGGAGATCACGTGCGTTTGCTCTCTCTCTCTCTCTCTCTCTCTCTCTCTCTCTCTCTCTCTCTCTCTCTCTCTCTCTCTCTCTCTACAGCGCTGTCATCTCAATCAGGCGCCTTCCCACTGGCTGCTCCCCTCTTCCCAAAGGTCATTTGACTGAATACCGTCGAACCACGGCAGTGTGTTATAAATATGCGACACACTTAGCTAGTCGCGACTTGCAGTGTTTTGCTAATACACTTTCCGTGGCCAGCCGTGTGTTCTTTGTCTGCTGCCCTGGTATTGGGGACCAGGGTCGAGTGCGTATACGCTCCACGGGATTTCACGCACCAGGCGGGTCATAAAAAATTGGCTACGCAGTTCTTCAACTACAATTGCTGACGAGTACGCAGACTTGAAGCAGATGTTGCAGCAGCAGCTGAAGCTAATGGAGGCACTCACCGTTAAGCTGTCCAACTCGTCCATGGGTCAAGCAAGCGCGACACGTGGTTCGCAATCTGTTGGTCACATTGCCGGCAGCATCACTGAATTCTTATATGACTCGCAGGCCCATACTGCTT